CAAAGTGGAAAAATAGGACTTAAGGAATACAGATTCTTTGAATGTTGGTGGACCAGTGGATTGGAAAAAGGGAGTTCCACGTTTATCTCAAATCAAACTGCTGTGTACATGCTCATTTGGTGTTTATCTGTACAGCTCTACAACCTCTCACCCAAAACCCTTAGGTCTAAAATTATCTCAGAACTTGGATTTTTAAAAATATTCTAGAAAGTTAGTAGGACTTGAATATTATAAACCCCCAGCAAGAACTGAAGAGGCATCTTAATAAATTACGCATATTAAGCCTTCATTTTAGGCACATTTCACACACACACACACACACACACACACACACACACACACACAATTTCCCCAACATAGGAACCTGTCACACACACACAAATTTCCCCAACATAGGAACCTGTCTCTCTCTCTCTCTCACACACACACACACAAATTTCCCCAACATGGGAACCTGTCACACACAATTTCCCCAACATAGGAACCTGTCACACACACACACACACAATTTCCCCAACATAGGAACCTGTCTCACACACATACACACACACACACACAATTTCCCCAACATAGGAACCTGACACACACACACAATTTCCCCAACATAGGAACCTCTCTCTCTCTCTCACACACACACACACACAATTTCCCCAACATAGGAACCTGTCCTCATTATTCCTGTTAAACTGATGATTGGATTTCCGCTGTCCTGCCTGGTTTTGGACTTTGTACAGGTCTTTAACCTTCAGGGCATCTCTGTTTCAGACTTTAGCTCCTCTCCCTACACCTATAGAAACAGCTCTCCTTTAAGTCCCTCAGATGTTTCCAGGGTCAGTGTAGGAGGACTCACCTGGGATAGAGGACAGACACCTCGGGGCTTGATTTAACAAACACATGAAGAGCTATTTCAGACTTGCCAGCTTCCTGGTAGAGTGAGGTATAGACATTTCATTTTAGGAGAATATTGCTAGTAGTCAGTGTATTAGTTTTTTCCATTAAAGGCAATTCTCAATCATTTAAGAATTTAACTGTTTACTCAAGAGCTCTAAATCCTATTCTGGCCATTTGCTCTTTTTGAGAAATATTTAGAGTGATTACTGGATGCCACTGCACATGTCAGATGCTGAGAAAGTGCAATCCCCCACTAAATAGAAAACCTAACTTTTTTACTTTTTGCTATAAATAAGGAGCCCAGGTTGGTTTTTCTCTTTTCACTGAAATAAACCCTCATGTCTAGTTTGGTGCATTTAAAACAAATGCAAAAGCTCACAAGCTCGTAATGAATTTGTCTACTAAAAAATTTTAAAAAGTGGGAGATATTGGAAGAAACTTGTCATTTATGTTAAGTCTCTGAAACTATAAAACACCTGTTTATATAATAAAGACATATCTCAATGAATTCTCAATCAACTGTACTTGGGATTAAGTTACGGAGGAGCTTCATCCACAAGGCCTGCCTGGGTTCTTCTTATCCGGCCTCCCACATCTACCATTCAAGGAGGGGCCTTCCCTGGTGGCTCAGATTGTAAAGAATCCGCCTGCAGTGTGGGAGACCCGGGTTTGACCCTGGGTTGGGAGGATTCCCTGAAGAAGGGCATGGCGACCCACTCCAGTGTTCCTGCCTGGAGAATTCACAGAAGAGCCTGGTGGGCTGCAGTCCATGGAGTGGCAAACAGTCAAGAGACAATTGAGCAACTAACACTTCCACTTCACTTTCAGGGACAGAAAGGGTTAAGTCAGTTGAAGGGAGTAAAACTAATGAGCAGGCAAAAGAAGGATGTGAATAATCAAACAGGAGTAGGAAAAACTGAAATTCATGAGTTCAAGGAACATAGACTAATTTTACTTGAGATCACTCTAAAAAAAGTTTGTCAAAACAGAAAATGAGATTTGTAAATGGTAAACTCTACAATGTGCACATATAATTTAGAAAAAGCAAGCAATTAAAACAACTTTAAAAATGATCTTCATTCATTGGAGAAAGATTCTTTTGTAGTATGTATTACAACAGTACTTGAGTCTTCTGAAAGGGCAAAATTCAAATATAACCACCTCTAGGAGAAGCATGTGATTTTATAGAAATGGGTTCATGAAGAAAAAAGATGAGTTTATGGTCTAATTCAGCAGTTCTCAAACTTTGGTTTTGAATCCTATTACACTCTTAAAAATTACTGGGGACCTTAAGATTCAAAAAAAATCTACTCGAACTGATAAACTTAGTAAGGTGCATATGTGCGTGCTCAAGGCATGTCCAACTCTGCGACCCCATGAACTGCAACCTGTCAGGCTCTGTCTATGGGGTTTCCCAGGCAAGAATACTGCAGTGGGTTGTCATTAAACAAAAAATATTAGAACTGATAAATGAATTTAGCAAGGTAGCAGGGTACAATATTAACTACATAAATCTGTTGTATTTCTTTACACGAAAAATGGAGTATCAGAAAGTGAAAAATAATCCCTTTTAAAATCACATTAAAAAAAAAAAAAACCACTTAGGAATAAACCTGAGCAAGGAGGAGAAAGACTTATATGCTGACAGCTATATAACACTGATAAAGGAAACTGAAGATGATTTAAAAAAAACGTAAAGATATCCCACGCTCCCAGACTGGAAGAATATTATTAATGTGGCCATATTACCCAAAGCAGATCTACAGATTTAATGCAATCTCTATCAAATTACTCAAGCATTTTTCACAGAACCAGAAAAAAAAGGATCCTAAAATGTATATGGAGCCACAGAAAACCCAGGAATAAGCAAACATGGAGGTATAACCCTCCCAGACTTCTGACAACAGCGTGAAAACAGACATCCAGATCAATGGGACAGAATAGACAGCCCAGTAATAAACCCACACCAGTTAATCTTTGACAAAGGAGACAAAAAACGGAGAGAAGACTGACTGTTCACCAAGTGGTGTTGGAAAAGTTTGAAAGCTGCATGTAAATCAATGAAGTTAGAACACGCCCTTTTACTATACACAAAAATAAACTCAAAATGGCTTAAAGACCAGTAAGACATGACATTATAAAACTTCTAGAAAAGAACATAGGCAAAACTGACAAAATTGTACCAATGTTTTCTTAGGTCAGTTTCCCAAGGCCAAAGAAATAAAAGCAAAAAAAATGGGACTTAGTCAAACTTCTAAGCTTTTGCACAGCAAGGGAAACCACAAGCAAAACAAAAATGACAACCTACAGAATGGCAGAGAGTATCTGCAAATTATGCAACTGACAAGGGCTTAATTTCCAAAATATCCAAACAGCTCATACAGCTCAACGAAAAAAAACAAAAACAAAAACAAAACAAACTCCAAAATCATAAAAGTGGGCAGAAGACCTAAATATCATTTCTCCAAAGACATACAGGTAGGTGGTCAAGAGCCATGAGAAAAGATGGTCAATATCACAAATCAAAATGATGAGGTGCTACTCCACACCAGTCAGAATGGTCATCATGGAAAAGTCTACAAACAATAAATGCTGAGGACGGTGGGGAAGACAACGGAACCGTTCTGTGCAGTTGGTGGGAATGTACACTGTGCAACCACTGAGGAGGCCAGTAAGGAGCTTCCTTAAAAAACTAAAAAACGACACCATACAATCCAGAAATCTGCCTTCTGGGCAGATATTTGGAAAAGATGAAAACAAATTTGAAAAGATTCACACACCCCAATGTTCACAGCGGCACTATTTACAACAGCTGAGATGTGAAAACAACCTAAGCATCCATCAACAGATGAATGGATAAAGATTTGGTACATATATACAATGGAGTATTACTCAGCCACAAAAAGAATGAAATAATGCCATCTGCAGCAACATGGATGGACCTAGACACACTAAGTCAGTCAGAGAAAGACAAGTATCATGGTATCACTAATACGTGGACTCTAAAAAAATGATACAAAGGAACTCATTTACAAAACAAACAGACTCACAGATGCAGGAAAAAGGCATGATTACCAAAAGGGAAGAAGACAGGGAGGGACAAATAAGGAGTTTGGGATTAACAGATACACACTAGAAGTATATAAAAGATAAAAAATAAGGACATACTGTATAATACATGGAACTATATTATGTTACAACAATCTGTAATGGAAAAGAATCTGAAAATGTGTGTGCATTAATACATATATAAATCACTTTGGTATATACCTGAAACTAACACAACACTGTAAACAACTATAGTTCATAAAAAAAAAAAAACAAAAACAAAACTGAGGCCCTAAAGAGTTTTTATAGGATGTTATCTAGTAGTATCATACTAGGAATTAAAACTGATAAATTTTAAGAATTATTTATTTACAAATAACAAAAACCCCTAACACAAAACTGTTACATGTTCACATAATTTTTATAAAAAATATAGATGTTTTTCTTTAAAAAAAATAGTGAGAAGCATGGCATTGTTTTACATTTTTGACAATTTCTTCCACATCTAGCTTACTAGGAGAGAGCTAGATTTTTGTATCTGTTTTGCAGTCACTCTACTAGAGTAACCTATAACATGCAGTCTCTGGAAAACTCCTCTGTACACTCAGCAAAGAATGAGGATGTGACAAAACAGACTGACCCTGAGGACACTTGAAAGGGCCTTGAGGACTTCTCCAGGCCATATTGAGAACCACTGCCCTAGTCTAGTCACATTTCACATACAAGGAAGTTGAATCTCAAGAAGAGAGATCAACTGAGATCCAAAATGATAAGGCCTGTTCACAACGGGATACAGATCCTGGACGGTTTAACTCGCTTCCCGAGGTTTACATTCCCAATCAGAAATACACCCTAATGACCTGCCCTGCCTGCCCTAGTTGTAGGAACTGTCAAAATATATTAACAACAACAACAAAAAACCAGGAGAGGAAAAGCAACAAGTGTGATAAATTCTGTGTTAGCACTTGAATTAGGATCTCTACTAGAAGTGAAACACTAAGACAAGTTCTACTGCACTCTCCTCCACACACACTGGTAATGACACATCAATACCAGAGAGATACAGAAAGCGGAATTACCATTTATAACATCACCAATTGTCACATTTTCTGAATCTGAAACACAGTTCATGACACAATCTGAAAATTTTTCACAAGTACTGAATGAAAAGATATTGGGTATATTTAAGAGACTACAAATAAACTGGCCATCATGTGGGACTTCTCAGGTAAAATGGAGTTGTTTTGAAATTAGATATTTTTCACTCTTTAACAGGACCTTATTTTGCCTTTTATGTATTGGGTTGACCTAAAAGTTCTTTCGGCTTATAAGCAAAAATAAAAAACTCATTTTTCACTTTCACCAAGAACTGAACTGAACAACGTATTCACCATTTTGTTCCACTACCTTCTGCCATTTTTCAGGCAACTTCATAATTCCATCTTCCCAAAACTTTTTATCTTTTTGAGCAAAGAACTGTTCCAGGTGCCTTTTGCAATCTTCCAGGGAACTGAAATTTTTTCCATTGAGAGAATTTTGTAAAGACCGAAATAAATGAAAATCTGAAGGTGCAATGTCTGGGGAATATGGTGGAGGAATCAGAACTTCCCAGCCAAGCTGTAACAATTTTTGTCTGGTCATCACAGAAACGTGTGGCCTTGTGTTATCCTGATGGAAGATTATGCATTTTCTATCGACTGACTCTGGACGCTTCTCACTGAGGGCTGCTTTCAGCTGGTCTAACTGGGAGCAGTACTTCTTGGAATTGATTGACTGGTTTTCTGGAAGGAGCTCGTAATAGAGGACTCCCATCCAATCCCACCATATACACAACATCACCTTCTTTGGATGAAGACCCTCCTTTGGCGTGGCTGGTGGTGGTTCATTTCGCTTGTCCCATGATCTCTTCTGTTCCACATTATTGAAGAGTATCCATTTCTCATTGCCTGTCACAATTTGCTTTAAAAACGGAACACTTTTGTTACGTTTCAGTAGAGAATCACATGTGGAAATACGATCAAGAAGGTTTTTCTGGCTTAACTTAAGTGGAACCCAAACATCAAAGCGATTAACATAACCAAGCTGGTGCAAATGGTTTTCAACGCTCGATTTGGATATTTTGAGTATGTCGGCTATCTCTCGTGTGGTATAATGTTGATTGCTCTCAATTAATGTCTCAATTTGATTGCTATCCACTTCAACTGGTCTACCTGACCGTGGAGCATCATACAGAGAGAAATCTCCAGCGCGAAACTTTGCAAACCACTTTTGACATGTCCGTTCAGTCACAGCACCTTCTCCATACTCTGCACAAATCTTTTTTTTTGTATCCGTTGCATTTTTACCTTTCTTGAAATAATCAAGCATAATATGCCGAAATTGTTGCTTTTTTTCTTCCATTTTCAATATTAAAATGGCTACCCCCCAATTCACCAATTTTGATAAGTTTCTTTTAAAAAATGCACATTGCCGTGACAGGTGTCACAATACAATCTTACAGTCTTACAAAATGGTTTCAAATGAAGTTAGAGACAACTCAGCATGACTGTAGTCAGCCTACAAAAACCTAAGTGAACTTTTTGGCCAATCCATTAAAAAAAAAAACAACTCAGTGAATCTCCTTGTTCACCTCTAGGTGACTTCCTTTATATCCTACCAGATGATCCAAATCTTCTTTAAAAGGATCGTAGCCTTGTTCCTTTAAACAACGTAGTGCCCAGAAAAGCTGGTCCAGGGGAGGAAATTCTTCCCAAGGAACCCACTCCCAACCTAGAAAAGAAAGAATCAGTTTCTTCAGTTGAAAGGAAACAAAGCATATTCATTTTGGCTAGTTAACCTGTACTAAGAAAAATTAATTTTAAAAGTGATTTGCTACTAATAAAACAAAGTGCAAGAGTGATGCTATGCATTAGCTTGGCTATACAAACATAATTTTCAGTGGCTCAGCAGTAAAGAATCTGCCTGTGATGCAGGGTATGTGGCAGGAGCCATGGGTCAGGCAGATTCCCTGGAGGAGGGCACGGCAACCCACTCCAGTATTCTTGCCTGGACAATCTCATGGACACAGGAGGCTGGCAGGCTACAGTCCGTGGGGTTGCAGAGAGACATGACTGAGCATGCACAGATGCACAGGTAAATGTTTAAATATTATGACATTAACAACAAAAATACAATGATTATTAAGAACTCTGTTCTAAATTAGTTTATGATTACATGTATATATCTATGTGTAATTACTGTTTCTTCCATTAAGCATTTCTCTGCCTATAAAATACAGATATGTAGTTTCAGTCTGGGAATACAGGGGACAAAGAATCCACGAACTTGGAACGAGTTCTGGAAGGGCTGATCAGTACCTGTGACCACACAGTATGGGGGGTGGGGGGAGGAGAGGTGGTGGAGGAAGAGGGGAGGTACACACTAACCGTGTCTTGCAAGATGCTCAATTAACTGAGTCTCCAGAGACCTGAAGTAGCGTCTACCCTGCCTCCTAGAGAAGGAAGCATCTGGACAATCCCTCTAATTATAATCTGATGGCTGGAGGAAAGATGCGGTGACTGGAAGCCTGAAGCAGGCTGTTCAGATCCAGGGCCTGCTGAACACGGGGCAGAGTCTGCATGCCTGTGTTATAAATAAAACAAAGACCCCCGAGCCTCTTGTACCATGGCCAGGTATCAGCTCCCCTAGTGAATTTGGTACAATCCTGCCTTCCCATTCTTAAGGCAGGAATAAGTTTTCTTGTACCCTAGGCCAGCTGAAGGCCTTTGGATCCTTCTTGTGTTTTTCTTCATGTGATATCATGAAAGAAGAAATATGTATTTGGTCTTCATCCCTGTTTCGGGAGGTGGGTGCAGACCAGAAAGACAGAGGCATGATGACTGGTTGGACTTTCAGCCACCGCTTAGGCCTGCTCCACCTTAGCGACGGGAGCGGGGCTGGAGGTTTGAGTTAATCAACGGGCAATGGTTTACTCAGTCACAGTGATAATAATCCCATCACATAATGATCCTTCATAAAAACTCCACACAGCTGGGTTCAGAAAGCTTCAGGGTTGAACACGTCAAGCTGCTGGGAGGGTGGTGCATCCATGCCCCCTCCTCCATACCTTGCCGAGTTGTTTAAACCCTGTCTGACTCTTCCCCGACCCCATGGGCTGTAGCCCATCAGGCTCCTCTGTCCATGGGATTCTCTAGGCAAGAATACTGGAGTGGGCTGCCATTTCCTCCTCCAGGGGATCTTCCCGACCCACAGATTGAACCCCATCTCCTGCACTAGCAGGTGGATTCTTTACCTCTGAGCCAGTGGGGAAGCCCCAGGAACAAGGTGTAGTACGCGGTAAATAAAAGGATAAATAAAAGGAAATCAATTACTGTCATTAAAGCTGTCAGAGCACTCAATTCAACACAGAAGGTAACAGATTAGGTGTTTTGCAAGTTAATCATCTTTTATAAAAGAAAGTTCTCTCTCTCGCACAGGTGAGAAAACTGAGGAAGGCACATTAAATGTTTTGCTTTAAAAACCACAGATAGAAACAAAATTAAACACTAGAAATAAAACTAACACTGAGTACTTACTGTGTTCATTAGGACGGGCCCACTGTAGGTAATAACTCATTTCACACTTACAACAACCCATCTGAGGGTTGTTGTACTATTATAACAAATGAGAAAAGAGGCCCAGAGACCTAAGTAACTTGGCTCGAGGTCACAAACTTCTTAGTGGAAGAACCAGGATGCAAATCAAGCAGTCTGGCTCTAGACCCATTCTCTTTCCTGTTCTATCCTTATAACTTCAGAACTTAAGTAGATTTAAATTCTAATGAAAGTATAATTACATTCTAACTCTCTTCATATGGTGACATAAAGTAATCTTCCTTCAGACATATGCTCGTGTAGAAAATGCATTATTGTATATAATTCTCTTACTTTCATTCTTTTCAGGCTCTACATTCTTTGGTTCTGAATCATGAGTCAGGTCCACCTCTCCTTTCATTAAAATAGTGACATAATGGTAATTCTCTTTCTCAATGAAAGAATTCACAACCGAGGCAAAGCGAACATTTTTCAGGTGAAGAGCTGCTTCTTCCCAGGTTTCCCTTTGAGCACATTCTTCCCAGCTTTCACTGGAAAACAGAAACACACCACCATATTCAATTCTATTTATTCATTTTTTTTTTAAAGCCATGAAATTCCTGGCTAGAAATTTCCAGTGTAACCCCAAAAGAGCTGTAATTGATTCATACTTTAAAACAATAAATCAACAAACCTCCTTGGATACTGTTTATCCTCTATCTAGTTCTCTGAAGACCAAAAGGACTTCATATTGAACAACAAAAAATGAACATTTAGCCAATTCAGCACTAGTTCACTTACCTGGGAGCAGCATGCAGCCAGGAGGTGGTCTGATATATCAGTTAAGAGCACAGGGCTTGTAGTTAACTAGACCTAGGTTTGAGTTCAAAGTCCATTATTTTCCACCTTAGGTAAGTAAAAAGATAATGCTACTTTCTCACAGGCTTGTAAGTGTATCAAGAAGTGAGTAAAGTCTTTTCCAGTAGGTTCAGAATTTCAGTTTGTGCCTCAAACTTGAGAACAAAAGGTATTCACAAAAATTAAAATACACTGATTAGTTCACCTTCAACATATGATTGATAATAACTAGATATTGACAAGAACTGATGCTCTAAAAGTTACAAAAACCTGCATATAAATGAAAACATTTCACTGTACAGTTTTCATATATGAAACAAGACTAAAAATATATAGTATCTCCCTTTAGAAATGGTTCCAAATGGAATTTTATAGTCAGATAAAGTATGTATCAAATGAAAACAAGTATGAAAAGAAATCTGTGTGATACAGTTTTTCTAAAAGTCATTTCATATGCCTTCTAGATTAAATTTCCTTGTATTTATGAAGCACTTTCGTATGTGAGATATTCAGCAAAAAAGAATATTGCTTCTCTATCTTTTCTACCTTGACTATTTCCCTCATTATCTCATCTACCCTCAGTCTTCCCATAAGACAGACAGATCTTTGGGAAGGGAGGAAAGTTGTGAGTTTTCAGGCTGTAGGAATGTTCCCTTTCTTCCTGATGGTGGGGGGGGGGGGGCGGCACAGCTCAGCCCCCAAACCAACTGAGAGGTGCTCCAAGAGAAATAAACGGTCACGGAGACTGGGTGTGGCTCTCAAGGGGGTACTGGTGTATCACCCCCAGTCAAAGGGCTGAGCTGTGGGAGCACACAGGGCCGCCCCTTGCCTCGGAGCAGAGCAACAGCAGGGAACGAGCTCTGGGGGTCTGAAGTGCGCCCCGTGGTGTCAGGGATGCACTGAACACAACGCTCACCCCCACTTTAAGCATTTGGAAGGTAGGAGACTGGGGAGAGCAGCCCACGATGGCTGAGCAGAGGAAATGAGTGGCAGTGAAAGCAACATGTTTTCTCCGGGCCAAGCAGATGCTGTGAGACTACTGGGGACCCAGCAGAAAGAAAATGTAGCGTGGTGTGCTAACACCAGGAGCTGGCGGCCAGCATCACAAGAAGTTCTTAGTCACCTGTGTCGGGGAATTGTGCAGTGCAGAAATCCTTGTAGGACTGGAGGACTTCCAACCAGCCACCAACACACCCTCAGAAAGAGCGCACACAGGAATACTGCACCCAGAGGGCACATGGAACGCAAAGAAATCAGAAACAGGGAGAAGAGGAGGAGGCAGAGAGCACGCAAAACATGGGCCCGCACCTCCTCTCCCCACCACAAAGGAAACACGAACGCCTGTAAGAGAACCAGAACACCAAAATACTTTTATTTTTCTTTTTTAATTTTTACGATGTTGTGTTGGTTTCTGCCACACAACAAAGCAATCAGCCAAAATTGTACATCCCCCTCCCTCCATCCCGTTGATGGTGGGACAGGCTGAGACCCTTATGTCTTCTCTCCTCTGTACCCAGCAGAACACAAAGAAACAACGAGGGACCAGAAATAACTAGCTGGCACAAATTATGAACAAGATTCAAAAACCCAACTGCCACTTGTGAGCTGCCAGGAGCAAAAGCAGGGTACCTCACATGAGCTCTGCACCTAGCACCATCAAGGGGTGTGCTTGTCCGTGCAATCTGATTTTTAATCTAGTAATTTTATTAAGTGATAGCTTGCTGCTGCTGCTAAGTCGCTTCAGTTGTGTCCGACTCTGTGCGACCCTAGGGACTGTAGCCCGCCAGGCTCCCCCTGTCCATGGGATTCTCCAGGCAGGAGTACTGGAGTGGGTTGCCATTTCCTCCTTCATGGGATCTTCCCGACCTGCTTCTGTTATAGCTCCTGCATAGGCAGGCGGGTTCTTCACCACTAGTGGCACCCGGGAAGTCCTAATCACATGCAATATATGGCCTCTCTTTGATCTAAATTGGTACAAAACAGTAAAAACACATCTTCAAGCCAGCTGCAAAAAATGCTGGGCTGGGTATCACAGACAGATTCTTTACCACTGCGCCACCTGGGAAGCCCCTTGAACATTTCTGATGCTGTTTATCTTCTACAGATGTCATCCCTATTCTCACTTTGAGATAGGATGGGACCCTTTCCCTGGGTGCTTGCACCTTGACAAAGGTAGAGACTAAAAATAATGCATGCACAGTTGGGGCAATTAAAGTGAAAGTGAAGTCGTTCAGTCGTGTCCGACTCTTAGCGACCCCGTGGACTGCAGCCTACCAGGCTCCTCCGTCCATGGGATTTTCCAGGCAAGAGTACGGGAGTGAGGTGCCACTGCCTTCTCCGGGGGCAATTAAAGACTAACTACAAAAAAGCCCACAAACCTACAGCCATTTTTAAGTTGCTGAGAGCGAAGCAGGGTTACCAGGCATGATTTCCACACACACAACCATCAAAGGAGCGGGCAGACCACCTAAGCTGCCCCTCCTGCCCAACCCGCAGATCCATGCCTACGCCCCACTCCATTAAGGAACAAGCTCACCACCACCTCCCGCTCCAGGAGAGCGAGCAAGGGCACCTGTTTCTCGTTCTCGCTCCCTCCCTCCGGCTACAGCAGGAGCCCCGACAAAGCTCTGCCTAAATTCCTCCTCTGGCATTTTACCAATTTCTATCGATTAAAGAGTCCAAGAGCCCGGGTGAACCCACCTTCTAGGTCAATCTCAGCCTCTCTTCACCCTTGTGTAGAACTAAACTTTCTCTGTCGGTCTGACACCTCAGTTCACAGAAAGTCAAAGCAGAGAGGGAGACCTTAGGGAGTACTTCGGGCGATTTACCCGCTTTAACGAGGAAGGCACAGAGGCCCAGGGTTTCCGTCAACCATTCCCTTGGTTGGAGGGCTACGAGATTTAACGGGAGCAGGAAAATAACAAACCGCCTGCGTTTAAATCGCCAGCAAACCGTGCAAACATTTGAAGGGACAACTACACTACTCGAGGCCTGTAAATACGCACTTCCGGCCTTTCAAGCGCAAGCGGCAGGAAAAGGCAAGTCACAACGCCCAGCTGCGTCAGGGCGAGAGAGGAGCTGACCCCTCGAGGGCAGCTCACACGAGGACGTGGCGACTCCAGGGCACGCCTCGCCCAGAGCAGCGCCCCCTGCCGGCCTCGGGCGAGAAAGACAAACGCGCGAGAAAGGACGCAGCGTCAGCGTGCACGCACGTACGGATGCACGCAGGAGAGGATGTCGTCCTCTGCGCGCCCGTTTCGTTTTCCCAGTCAGCCAGGCGACTGCTTACCCGAACTCCAAGTGGCCCCCGGGAAGTTGGAAACTGCCGGCTCCGAACGACCCTTTCCTCCTCCCCAGAAGGACGCAGCGAGGATGCCTGCCGCTGGTCACCACGACACCCACTCCGATCCCCGGGCGCCGCCCACGCGGCTCCACGTTGGCCGTCATCGCGCGAGAGGACCAGGACGGCTGCGACGGGAAGTGACGTTCGGTTCGCCCCGCCCCCCGCCGCCGCTGTCAATCAGCCTGAGCAGGTGAGGGCCTGCAAACCTGACCTCGGCGGTTTGCGTCTCTAAGTCTCTGCTGCACTTAAGGGTTTCAAATTGTGATGTTTGTTTCCTCCCAGGGAACTGCGCGGCCGGAGTTTTTCGTTTTAACGAGTGCCGTTTACTGTGGATGTTTCAACGTTCATTATTTATCTACTCAGATTCCTCCACGCGCTTACCAGCCTCCTACTTTTTTTTTTTTTTAAATAAATCTCTGTGCCTTTGCAGATCTTTTTTTTTTTTTAAATGAGCTTCACTACAGTTAACTCATGCTGTGCTTAGTCGCTCAGTCGTGTCCGACTCTTTGCGACCCCTGCACTGTAGCCCTGTCCATGGGATTCTCCAGGGAAGAACACTGGAGTGGGTTGCCGTGCCCTCCTCCAGGGGATCTTCCCAACCCAGGGGTCGAACCCAGTCTCCCACACTGCAGACGGATTCTTTTTACCGTCTGAGCCACCGCGGAAGCTCAAACTCATGCTACTGTATGCATCTCTAATCAGTGTAGTATCCGAGCAAGGACAAATAGTACAGAAACACCGTGACACAAGAGTATTAACAAATCATGGGAAGAAAATTAAGGACTAACTAATCAGTTATGCTGGGACGAATTAGTTACCTATTTACCTTTCCTGTTTGCATGGCATGCACCAACAAAAATATCCCAGCTGAATCAGATTTGTATGGTTTCTGGTTGGGGAGGATCTTTTAAAATTTAATTTAAATTGTTTTAATTCTAAAATAATGTGCACATAATTTTAACAGGTGGTACAAAAAGTAGAAGAATAACCTTATTCTGCTTCCATTCACTTTTAATGCTGAGCTGTTATATCTGACGCTTGCTTACATATTTTTAAGTAATATGCTTACATGACATGTTATGGTAAATGAACTGATTAAATATTTTTAAAGCCTCTCTCCTGCCACCCAGAAACTCAGCAGCCTTCAGTGTATTGTGTGCCATAAACATACTCCATGATATTTTCCCAAATAAAAATTGGCAACATATGAAAAGGAGACTATTGATATATCACGACTAAATGGGGTTATTTCCAGAAATACAAGTCTGGCTTAATATTTGAAAACTCAATGTAATTCACCATACTAAAAAAGGGAAAAAGGAAACAAATATGATCATCTTAATAGATGCAGGAAAAAAATCTGATAAAATTCAGTACTCATTCAAGCAAATGTGAACCATTAAAAGGGTATCGCTTACTGAATTATATGCTTAAAAATGGTTAAGGTGATAAATTTTATATTATATGGGTTTTTAAAAAAATATTTATTTATTTGGTTGTGACAGCATGCAGGATCTTTTAGGTGTGGCAAGTGGGATCTAGTTCCTTGACCAGGGATTAAGCCTGGGTCCCCTGCGTTGGGATCCGGAGCCTTAACCATTGGACTACTAGGGAAGTCCCAGACAAGATGTTAAATAATAATAATAAATGCCAGTACAACAATGTGACATACAAATGTTAAAAGAAAGAGCCTTGATCTGTATCTGGCATCTAAGAAGTCATACCAGGGCTTCCCTGGTAGTTCATCTGGTAAAGAATCCCCCTGCAATGCAGGAAACCCTGGTTGGATTCCTGGGTCAGGAAGTTCTCCCCCAGAGAAGGGAAAGGCTACCCACTCCTGTATACTTGGGTTTCCCTGGCAGCTCAGTCTGTAAAGAATCCGCTGCAGTGTAGGAGACCTGGGTTCAATCCCTGGGTTGGGAAGATCCCCTGGAGAAGGAAATGGCAACCCACTCCAGTATTCTTGCTTGGAGAATCCCATCAACAGAGGAGCCTGGCATGCTGCAGTTTATGAGGTTGTAAAAAGTTGGACACGACTGAGTGCTAAGCACACATAACAAAATGGATTCAGTTCAGTTCAGTCGCTCAGTCGTGTCCGACTCTTTGCGACCCCATGAATCACAGCATGCCAGGCCTCCCTGTCCATCACCAACTCCCGGAGTTTACTCAGACTCATGCCCATCGAGTCAGTGATGCCATCCAGCCATCTCATCCTCTCGTCCCCTTCCCCTCCTGCCCCCAATCCCTCCCAGAATCAGGATCTTTTCCAATGAGTCAACTCTTCGCATGAGGTGGCCAAAGTACTGGAGTTTCAGCTTCAACATCAGTCCTTCCAATGAACACCCAGGACTGATCTNAGTCTGTTGTTCCATGTCCAGTTCTAACTGTTGCTTCCTGACCTGCATACAGGTTTCTCAAGAGGCAGGTCAGGTGGTCTGGTATTCCCATCTCTTTCAGCATTTTCCACAGATTAGACCTACATAAAAACAGCTGAAAGTATAAACTTTCTAGAAAAAAATATAAGAGAAAATTTTTGTGGTTTTGAGCTAGGCATAAACTTATTAGATGTGCCACCAAAGACATGATCCATAAAAGAAAAATTGTTAATTTGGACTTCATCAAACTTTAAAATTTGCTCTGCGAGACATTGCTATGGACTGAATTCTTATTTTCCCACAGACATATATTGGAGGCTAGCCCCCTCAATTATCTGATTGTGGAGGCTTTAGGAGACTTGTATTCCCTGGTAACTCAGATGGTAAAGAATCCACATGCAATGCTGGAGACCTAGGTTCAACCCCTGGGTTGGGAATATCCCCCGGAGAAGGAAATGGCAACCCACTCCAGTATTCTTGCCTGGAGAATTCCATGGACAGAGGAGCCTGGAAGGCTGCAGTTCATGGGGTTGAAAAAAGTCGGTATATGACTGAGTGACTATTATTCACTCACTTAGGAGGCTTAGATGAGGTCATAAAGGTGGGATCCTCATGATGGGATTAATACCTTTGTGTGAGGTATAAAGAGAGCTTGAGCCCACTCTCCACACCATGTGCAGACGCAGCCAGAAGGTGGCAGTCTGCAAGCCAGAAAGAGCTCTCACCAGATATTGACTGCTGGCATCCTGATCTTGGACTTCTCAGGCTCCAGAATTGTGAGAAATAACTGTCTGCCGTTTAAACCACCCAGTCTATGATATTTCATTATAGCAGCTGATCTGCTAATACGAATTGTTTAAGAAAACGAAAATACAAAATATAGGCCTCAGAGAAAATATTTGCAAAGCATATTTCTGCTAAAGGACTGGAACAAGAATATGTAAGGAATCCTCAAAACCCAACAATAAAGCAAACAAGTTAATAAGTAAATAGTCAAAAGAATTGAAAATATTTGAAATATTTGAAAAGAATTGAAAATATGTCACCAAAAAGAAATATGAGTAGCACATAAGCACATGAAAAGATGCTCAAGTCATTAAAAAACTAAACTACACTGAAGTACCTGTACACATCTACTAAAATGAATAAGATTAAAAAAAAAACCAACCCCTGGTATTACCAAGTACTGGTAAGCATACAGACTAGTTAGACCTCTCATACATTGTTGGTAGGATTGCAAAATGGTACGAACAGTTTGGCAGACAACTTATTATTTCATATAATGTTGAACATATGCTTATCACACAACCCAGAAGTTCCATTCTTAGATGTATAACCAAGAGAAATGAGAGCTTATGTTCATTCAAAGACTTGTATGCAAATGTTACAGAAGCTTTATTCATAATCATCAAAAACTGAAAATAACTCAAATGTTCTTCAATGTGATTAGATAAATCTACTCTAGTATGTTCATACAATGGAAAATGACTCAGCAGTACAAGGAACAAACAACATGGATGGATCTCAGGTGAAAAAAATCAGATATAAAAAGCTACTTGCTATTTGGATCCATTTATATGACACTCTGAAAGAGGCAAAGCTATAGACACATAAAACAGGTCACTCTTGGCCTGGGGCTGAGGGTGTAAAGAGGTTGAGCGCAAAGGGACCTGAGGAATTTTGGGAGGTGAAGCAACTGTCCTGTGTCCTAATTGTGGTGGTGGTAACATGGCTATGTGTTTGTCAAAGCTCAGAACTATACACTAAAATAGGTGAATTTTATTTTATGTATACTAAATCTCAGTAAATCTGACTTAAAAAAGAAAAAGCATAGTGCGCTTTGGACTTGAAGAAAGGAAAAGTCAAGATGCAATTCACCAATGGTAAGATTCAAGATATTACAGAGCTTGGGACTTCCCTGGTGGTTAACTCTGCACTTTCAATGCAAGGGGCTTGTGTTCAATCCCTGGTCGGGGACCTAAGATCCCAGATGCTGGTGGCTTAGCAAAAAAAAAAAGACATTTCCGAGCTAAACTGCTCTATTAACAATACCTGAAGTTGTCATCCTTGTGGGTGGTGTTGTGGAAGTGATGACATCTCTTGGAAAGCTAGCGTTACACTGGAGATAAGGGGAGGCAGTTTCCTCTGCTCACTGGGCCTTAGAAGATTCAGGGCGCCTGAGCTCTGGTGGGTGATGTTCACGGTCACAGGCATTCTTGGTAAGGAGGGTAGCCTACTCCTGAAACACAGTAGGAAGTCTGGGCTAATAGGAGTGGGCAGATGAAGAGATTCAGAAGTCACAGTTAGTAGCCGGTTTGGGGTTTTCCTTTGTTCTGGGCCTGGTTTTGTCCAGCTCTTAGCAACCCCATAGTCTGCAGCCTGCCTGGCTTCTCTGTCCATGGAACTGGCCAGGCAAGAATACTGGAGTGGGTTGTCATTTCCTCCTCTAGGGGATCTTCCTGACCCAGGGATGGAATGGCTCTTTTGTTTCCTGCATTGGCAGGCGGATTCTTTACCACTGTGTACCTGGGAAGCCCAAAGTTTTCCCTTATTACGCTTTAATTTCATTTTACTATCCTGAAGCCTTCAATAAAGTCTGGTTATATGTTACAGCCTGCTCTTAACTTGCCTTGAAGAGTTAAGATGGGCCTGAGTTTACCCTCCTATGAAGGAATAAAGAAAAAAGAAGGGCATCAGGCCAGAGAGCTTGGAGAGAGCATCAAATGTCA